CGGAAGTTTGATGGAGGGCCCTTAGCACTGCCGTTGGTGCCATAGGGGATGCCCTTCTGTAGCCTCAGAATATTTCCCACATTAAACTCTTGATCTGTCGTTTGACATTTCCTGTAGCCCTTTTGGATTCTGATTACCGTTCGGCAATTGACTTCAGACAAGAGACAAATGGGGTCTGTCTTTGAGGCTCTTTGTTGCGGAATGCCTAGCCAATAGTTTTGCTGAACTACCGATGCCTATCAATAAAAACTGATATTTTTGGTGAATTGGGGTATTGGGCAATTGCCAAATTGGAACTTTTTCAAAGTGAATGAAACTGGACAGCTGTTATTCGTATGCAATATTCATATTGCTAAATGGGATTTCGTAGTGAATTTATTAAATATTGCATGCTGCAACTATATATGTTGAAATAATTCAATATAGGTATAGGAATCTTATCTCATAGTGGAATGCACGTGGGCCTTTTTTGGATTAATTGGAACAGTGTTCTGCTCCTTGGCCATGCAAACAACACGACATAATGATATTTGTGGATTAGAATGTTGGGCAATCTCCAGGGGCGGAGCCACACTGGGATCAGTGTGGTCCCGGGCCCCTACTCAAGTTTTTTTATATTTGAAAAGTAATATACTGTTATGTATTTGTATATGTATATTATTTCAAATACTTTACGTTTTGATATGTACTCACATGTGTTGTGGTGAACTTATTAAGGCACAAGGAGGTAGTTCAAATTGCGCTATTGCTCAGCTGGTGGTGGTGCACTCCAGGTGTACAGATTACCTTATTTCCATTTTCAACATTTAAGTAAATGTCTTTGTCCTTTGACTTTAATTTATTTTTATATTACTCCATTTACTTAAGTTTACAATGTAAATAAGGAAGTACCCCCCATTTGAATTCAAATAAAAATACTAGAAAATCAAATTCCCACCAAATCAAAATATGAAAAATCGGTTTTAGTATAAAATACGATTTTGGCTAAAAATGATGGTTCATTAAGTCAATATATACTTCATACTAAAATACCATAAAATCAAGTTTTCTTATTTGATGTGTAAGGAATAAAAGCCGCCCAAAATTATCTTGAGAAAATGATTATTCCAAAAAACCATTTTTCATACTTAGTCAATATATTTTCATGTATGATATGAATGCATGAAGGGGCCTAAGTTTGTTTTTAATTTGGGAAATTTTGATTTTTTTTTTCTTTCTATTGGGTTTAATGCGGGGAAAAGCTTTAAAGATATTTGTTAAATCGCTACTCTTTGTCTATCTCTTGCAATTTTTCTTGCTTAGAATGCATTTGTCTATCCCTTTGTCGAGAACAATTATGATTGCAACCAATAAGCAATATAATTCTTGACATATGTGATATATATATACACTATTCTTTTGTATGTATTGTGAGTTCGAATTTTTGATTCTTTATAATTTGTAAGGGGCCCCCACACATATGAAATCCTGACTTCGCCACTGGCAATCTCCGAAGTCAAACTCTACACAGTGACTGATTGGTGGGTGGCATCGGCAAATATATGTCTTCAGCCGGTTGATATCTTGATGACTCATGATTGCTTTAGCACAGGGGTTACCGAACGGCAAGTTGGGAGACGCTGATCAAAGGGGCATGTAGAGAAAAGCTAGGGTGACCCACATATTTCCTCTTCTTTCGAGCTATATTGCAAGGATTCATCTTCTGCATGTTACTCTCTTGACCCTCATGGTTGCTCCATTATGGTATTGCCGTTCGGCAAGCTAGGTGATGCTGATTGTAGGAGTGCCGAAGGGCACTGCCGAAGGGCACTGCCGAAGGTCTCTTTCGAAGGTCTCTGCCGAAGGGCACTGAAAAAAGGAGAGAATAACAGAAGCTTTTTGTGTCGATTCCCACAGACGGCGCCAAACTGTTGACGCTCAAAAATGGTTCGGCACTTTTGAGGCCAACTTAGTGATGAGGTGTGATTGATGATGAGTGAAGGTGAGGACCTTCACCAAGCGTGTGAGGATTTGAGCAAGCGATAAACATACAAAAGACAAGATATACGTGGTTCACCCTTAATGAATGGGCTACGTCCACGGAGAAGTATATTCTCATTATTATAATATTGTGTATTTACATTTGTACA